TTTTTAATTTTATTTTGTGAGTTTGAGTTTTTTAATTTTCCGATTCTTCTCTGTTTTCTCATTTAATTAGCTCACAGTTTGTTACCTCGGTTTTTTCCGTTAGTTTCGTTTGTTTTCGACTCTTTCGGTTCGTAAATACTGTAGTACATGTTTTCTGGTAGAATGCTTCGACCGGCGACAAATTCATTGATTTTGTGCCTAAAGTATCGCTGAATCTTTGAATAATAAATTTTCAAATTATGCAATTCTCAACACTCGTTTTTCTTAGTGGATATTCTGCAAAAAAGTTCACTGAGAAATATTGGAAAGGTCTCAGCGAATCCAACTTGAAAATTAGAAACAGCCAATTGACCGATATAAAGTTTTTAGACTATGAATAACCTCGGACTGCATTGTTTCTGTCCGAAAGAATTACTTCATTGACAACGATTGTAAAGATACACACATTTTTATATTCGCGTGTGTACAGCGTTTTTACAAATTCAATCCAAGCTTGAGAAAAACCTTCAAAGTAAGCTTAAACTTACGACAAAACTCATGATTGGCTAGTTTGTAGGTGCTGCAGTGCCCAAGTTCTGCACACTTAGGTTATTTTAGAACTTAATGTGTGGAGCGATAGGCTTAGTACCTTGTTGAGTTCAGTCATGGGATACAACTTCGGAACACGGGAATCGGCAGGAGAATGAGGAGGATGGAGGAGTTGGAGGGATTACATTTCATTTTCCATGAGTCAATCTTGTGAAGATTCCAGCAATGGTATTTTCTCACAACGGTCGTTTCTTTGTAGCACTGACCTGGTTATATGATATACTAGTAGTTTTGTTGCAGTGTTTATTAAGCTCTGGTGCAACGTACAGAGCTGTTCCGACGGGCCCTGAATAGGATGAATCTGGAGAAGGAGCAGTTGCGGGAGGGGCGTATATCACTTTGGGACCATTACTTGGCTGCCTGAAAAATAGACATGAAAACACAAATTAGAATCATTGCATTACTTTTATAAAGAAATTAAAATTTTTACTAGTTAGTAGCAAATATTTTCAGAAAAATGTCATAATATGACATATTCCTGAAAATAAATTATTAGAATGATTATTAAAACACTTATCGATTAGAAAAGTTCATGCTTTGAGAGTGAAAGATTATGAATGCCTAGTTAATGTTTTGACGAATGCACAGTTTACTCTGAACTTCTACATTTATTAAAAGCTAATTTTTTATTTGATTTGTCCCTCTTCCTAACTCCGGACATATTATAAATTTTTTGAAGACTCCTCACGACCAATCCTTGTGTAGACGCAGTGTTCCAACTTCACTCTGGAAAATTAGGAGTCGTCAATAATTCCTTCGGAACCATTAAGATGTTCGGCTCACCCATTATTAAGCATACACTTTATTGAAGAGAGGACTCAGAGGAAAACAAAGTCGTAGGAACCAAGAATAAGGGAGGAAAACGAGACAAGAAAGGATGTAAAAAAGAAGAAGTGCTTAAACAAAGGGATGGATGGGACAGACGCTAAAAAGATTGTAACCGATGATACATACTAGTAAAATCTTACAAGTCAATTTTGCTCCAAACCAGCGCCTGCATTTTTAGCGCACTTTCAGCATGGCACCTGGTAAAGTTGGAACAAGATTGATCTCTATAAAGCTGATTATGTTTCGAATAATATGGCTGCAGTAATGGATCATCGGTATAACAAATGAATTGATATTAAACTTGAAACAAAGTAAAAATGAAAAATATTATTACTTCTGTAAAATTTCTGTGGTTGCAAGTCCGAAATCACCAATCTTTACGTGGTCTTCTGAGTCCAAGAAAATATTAACAGGTTTCAAGTCACGATGAATGATGCCCTGCTGATGGATATGCATTAGCCCTTCAACTATTTCTCTGAGGAGCCGCCATACTCTTTTTGTATCTTGGTACAAACATTGATCAATTGCATTCCTGAAAAATATAGAATATTAACCACTCTTTAGGATTAAAGCTTTTAATTTTTGTTACAAACATTTTAAGAAAACATGGCCTCTCTGAGGCTTCAGCAAAGCAGTTTGGATGATTTGCTCACTAAATAGCAGTAACAGGTTTGCTTGCCGCCAAAGGCCTCAGGCCCAAAGCTCTGACTGGTTTTCATAGCCTCTTTGAACTTGGAAGCAAAAAATCAGGAGGCTACGCTGCACTGATGATTCATCCAATCAGATTGGAAGTGCGTCTGCAGTTGCTTACCTGATTGGTCAAAACTAAGGTTACCTAAACAGCATTTCTCTACGAGGGAAAATTGTGCTAGAATGAGTTTTTTTACTTTGTATTGAGCATCTCAGTTTTCTACTGATTTTAACGCACAAGGGCGAAATCACCAACTTTCTTATTAAAACGCAGCGTAGAATAACTCAGCATTGAAAATAAGAGCAGATAAGGTGAACCACGAGTTACGATCTAAACTGGTTGAGAATGGCAGAACTATCTAAACGCATAAATATGTACAGTGAGTGCTTAGAACTTAAATCTAAGTGCTGCATTTGAAAATAATGGTGAATAACCAGAGAGTAAAGTTCTTGAGGTAAAAGTTTTTATTCAATTTTGACCGTTTAGAAATCCAATTTTCTTGAAGTAGAGGGAAAGAAAGCAAGGATCCTGCTTTAAAGAGACTTTAAGAGATGCAAATACAAACCTGAGGGTACTTTTCTCACAGTATTCCATTTGGATGTACATGCACTGTTTCAAATTGTTCAAAATGTTTGCTTCTGAATCCAATTTCACTGGTTCTGATACTCGAGGAACACTTGCTGTTGATTCTGAGTCTTGTGGGGATGAGTCAGTGCTACCACGTCTGGAAATTAGTTTTGAAAAAGTTACAATGAGGAGATAAGTTGATCAAATATATGTAACTAACCCTGTCACGTTTCAACGGTTTCAATACAAAGTTTGCCAAATACATATCTTATTTCTTATTTTCCCCTTAAAAATCCCTGGGCTAAAATAAAAACGGTGGGGGTTCAATGAGCTAACTTCGGTATTCCTTGATTTTCATTATGAGGCGGCCTTCTAGGCTCTAATATACATATTACTCCTATTCATAAGAGATCAATGGAAAAATGTGTCAACTCCCAGGAGCAGAGTAATATGTATGTATTCATAGAAAGACTACCACAGATTAATTTTTAAGTAAGTTCTGTAATTTTTGTAGCGAAAATCGTGGGCTACATGAGATTTTGAGGTGAAAACATACTTACATCCATCAAAATGCTTAAATTTATACCTTGTCTAACAATCCATTGTTTCAATGCAGTGACACTATGTGTAGGTCGTGTACAGAAAGTTCCTGTACATGCTACAGGAAGTAACAAAAAGCAATTTCCATGAAAATTGAGTGAAAAAGAGTTGGAGTCCTCTGCATAACTTGGCAAAGCTTAGATAAAAATTACGTACATGAATGAAATCCAGCCTGTGTCATCATCACTAGAACTTTCATCATCTGAGCTCAAACAATTTCCTCGAGGCTCAGATAAATTCCAACCAAGACTTAATTCTTTCATAGGAACAAGATCTATGCCTTTTTTGACTTCTTTGGTTTCCTGTCATTACACAAAAAACAAATAAATGATAAAAAAAATCACACTGCATTCTGCATTTATATAGGCGATGAACCAGTAGGCAAGAACGAATTAAGCTTTCTGATACAAGTGACTTAACTAAAATTTTACGTAGAACTTGATTGGTGCAACAGAAATTATTGAAATTAACTCTTAACTAAGATATTCAATGTTTCTTAATGCTTAAATTCAAACCTTCCGAACATGAAAAAAGAAGTCTACGTCAGCCACATTGTGCACTAGACGTTACAGGCACAATTGCAATGATATGAAAATATGGAAACCTCAATCTCAGTGCTTTGGTTAAGCTGTCTCATGTTTTTAATGCTTTGATCAATAGAAGGCGAGAAGGGAACCCTGATCGATCAAGAAGCCTTTTAAAACCCTTGCAATGCATGGTTTGATTCAAGAAGACAATTGTTTTTCTTGTAAGTGGGGACTTTAAAATTCCCTGAACAAGTGACAACTAAAAGCTTGGGTCGATTTCAGAGCAAATTTTGCTGCAAAAATCAAGTTCTAAATTAAATTTTGGCTAATAAATATGTATCAGGATACTAACATTTGTATCTTGTCTACTGGTCCATTCCTTCAAGTTTCATCGTTTGTGTAATACCCTCTTCACTAAGCAGGTCAATTTCTGAAAGAATTATGCTCTAGACCACACTTGTTTACATATTTAAAATCTGAGGGATTCAAAATGCGCAAATTTGAATCTGACACTAAAATGTAAATATTTATTGAGTTGAGCTTGACTTTTTCGGCTGATAAGATAAAGTTGCGATGCTTTTTGAGAAATCAGCAAAAAGGACCCTACAACAAAACGGCCAAATCGGCCTAAACACGGAATCGTACGATTTTCTCAGGGATAATAGAGGGTCTTCCCAGACACTCAAAACTGGTCATATTTTTTGCCTATCCCCCAGGGAAAAGGGGGGGATGGGGGGTCAAAGTCAAAACCTTTAAAGTAGCATAACTTCTCAACGGTTTGTCGTAGAAAGACGATCTTGGTGTCAAAATTTCCAGAAAAATGAGAGCTTTCAGAATATGTATGTATGTATGTATGAAATTAATAAAATTTTAAAATTTGACCCACTTTTGGGGCATTTTACAAGGTCCCCCTTTTGTAAATTTTCGTTTTTTGAGATTTTCGGTTGTTCGGTTCGCACGGATTAAAACAAAAACAATTTCAAATGAAAGTAGAGCGTTTAAGCTTTAAAACAAGCCCAAGATGATCTTGGGGAAACGATTAGAAGCGGGGTTATGAGTCTTCAAAGTTGACGCGGCGCGCGGGGACCTTGTATGTTCCGAGTCTCAAGGTCACCCGCGCGCCCCGGATTGCCTGCAGGTTGCAAGTTTTTGTGTTTTTATGCTTCTGTAGGTCATTTTTAATGTAAATCATTCAATGAAGATAGAATAATCGAAATTTTTTAATTTTACGGGAGGAGCGAGAGGGGGCTAAGAGTATCAACCATTATGTCCATCATACCTCATTAAACATTTGCTGACGATGTCGATTCTGCTCTTATAATTTAGAAGAAACCATGGACCCTCAGTTCAAATATACATATGCTCCATATAGAACTGAACCATTTAGAAATTATAACCCATTGATGCCAAATTTTGGGGTACCCCTAATTTTAAAATCTTTTCATTGAGCTATAAGCTACAGCGCTTGACGGAACTCACTTGGTAAAGCCAAATAATTTCTGGTAGAAGCAGGCGAGCTTTGAGCTTCAAAACAAGTCTCAGTTATTCTTGAGGGGGCTATTTGAAACGCAGTTAAAATTTTTTGACGTTAATGTGGTGTACCTCGCCGAAGGCCCATTGTGTAAAATTAAAAAATTCTGATTAAATTATCTTCATTGGATGATTTACATTAAAAATGACCTACAGAAGCATAAAAACACAAAAACTTGCAACCTGCAAGCAATCCGGGGCGCGCGGGTGACCTTGAGACTCGGAACATACAAGGTTCCCGCGCGCCGTGTCAACTTTGAAGACTCATAACTCCGCTTCTAATCGTTTCCCCAAGATTATCTTGGGCTTGTTTTAAAGCTTAAACGCTCTACTTTCATTTGAAATTGTTTTTGTTTTAATCCGTGCGAACCGAACAACCGAAAATCTCAAAAAACGAAAATTTACGAAAGGGGGACCTTGTAAAATGCCCCAAAAGTGGGTCAAATTTTAAAATTTTATTAATTTCATACATACATATATATTCTGAAAGCTCTCATTTTTCTGGAAATTTTGACACCAAGATCATTTTTCTACGACAAACCGTTGAAAAGTTATGCTACTTTAAAGGTTTTGACTTTGACCCCCCATCCCCCCCTTTTCCCTGGGGGATAGGCAAAAAATATGACCAGTTTTGAGTGTCTGGGAAGACCCTCTATTATCCCTGAGAAAATCGTACGATTCCGTGTTTAGGCCGATTTGGCCGTTTTGTTGTAGGGTCCTTTTCCTTGATACATTTTAAATATGGCATACTGGTTGGAAACTAAAGTACTATTAATCCATTTTCTCATGTATTGTTTTTTCGATTGTGCTGGAATTGTGCATTCACTAATTAGAGTTCTTTCATGGGTTAAATTCTGCTCTGTAGAAAGAAAGATCAGGAAAAGCTAACTTCAAGTCCAACCGGTATTAGCTTTCTTGTGTAGCCAGCATCATAATTGATTTATACTTATTATCACTGTAATATAATTGAATCGACGAATGCGAAAATGTCCGTTGTCCAATACAGGGTTTCATAATTGTGGTAGGTTTCTTTTGTCCCGCGACACTGATGAATAGGATCAATCTCTTTTGTAAACCTTTAATTACACTTAGGGGATTATTTGTAAAATTGTTCTATATTCCTAACATCTTAAACCATCTTGTGTCGTTAAGTTACAAGAAAATTGTCGACTCAAATTCTGAAACACTGTCTTGGACATTGGACGTTTTTGCAAAAGTCGATTAAAATATTACTGTAGTAGATTAATAATTTCCATTTAAATGTTTAAATTGGATGAATGATATTTGATGACAAACCTGTTTTTTCTCATCTTCTAAGCTACCACTTTCTTCTACAGTTTCAATCCAGGAATTGAAGTATCGTACGACGTTTTCATGATTCAGCCTCGATAACAGTTTCACTTCTCTCATAATTTTTTTATTTAGAAGCTTGTTTTTTGGATCTAGCTCTATTTGCTTGATAGCATACAGACAATCATCTAGTTTATTACGTACCTAAAATAGAAAATTCAGAATTGAGTTGAGAGGAGGTGAAAAAAAACCTTGCCTGGAGCATAATTTAGGTAAAAATTACAGGATTGTTGATGATTAAATTTGAAGTTAATTGTAAGTCAAAAATGCACTTTTATCCACTGATGTCACTACTTCTCCTGTAGTCCCATGAATATTCCCGTAACTTCCCTCTTGCTTTTATTAGAATTTACTTCTAACAACCCCATCTTCATTACATGCAGCAAAAAGTTAGCAGATTTCATGGGTATAATTTCACTTTTCTCCCAGACTGCATACCACTATATGAGAGTTTCTCATCGGTGTTTTGAAAATATGCGTCTTCGATTATTGGTCAATTTATCTTGCCAAAAGAATCTGATTTAATTCATTCACAGAAAAAAGGGAATGCTAAAAGAGTACTCACTTTTAAAACAATGCCAAATGCTCCTTTACCGATTGAGTCTAAAATTTCGAACTCATTTTCTAGTCGAACATGCCCGCGAGGTATTGAGTTTAAGTTAAAAGGAATTTTACAGTTGTTACTATTCTCTAGAAGATCCTGAAAAGGAGAACATTAGAAAATAAAGGTAAATGTGTAAAGACCCAAAATAACACAAAATATTCGACAAAAATAACGTTAAAGCTAGTTAAATCAAGTAGATAACCAGCCGACTATCACAAAAAGCGAGGGCTTGGTTTGTAGTTTCAAAAAGAAAAAAAATTAGAAAGTGTTCTAGATAGTTTTATTTAAGGGAATACTTGATATTAAAACGTTTGAAATTGAAGATAAAAAGATGTATGAGAACTCCGAAAATACATTCATATTACAAGATAATTCAAATAAAATACTACAACCAAAGAGGAAAGAAGATAATGAGGAGAAAAAAACTTTGAGGTATACTTACTAAATACTTAGGTCTATCAGGTACACTATATTTTTTTATCGGACTTCTACTGACTATGCTTTCTTCCTCATTGTCACTGAAAATAAAATATAAAAATCAATGCAAGCTTAGAGGTAACAAAATTTACCAAATAATTAAAAAAGTTAGTAATGAAAGTTGTTTCCATCTAGATCAATTAATTTTACTGTGACAGGGTTCAGGAATTTTGAAAAATCCGAAGGTATCTACTGAATCAAATCAAGATTTATAGGGCTAAAGACACAAAAACTTTGCTCCTATTCAAATTTTTCTATTTTGAAAAAGGTTTTGTTTTTGCCGAAAGTTCGTTTCATTTTAAGTTTAGAATTTCATTTATTTGTTAGGACATATTTCTTCAGATTTCATGCGAAACTATACAATTCAAATTCTAAATTAATTGGTCTAAAAACCACTTAATACTAAAATGAGGTCAGATTCAGATTATGCTCATACTATGTATGTATTCGAGACTTCACTTTCTTTCAAAAGAGTATAAAAAATAAGGACAAAACTTACTCATCAAAAGAGACAAATTCCTTAAACCTGTTGGATAGTAATTTGTCATTATCAAAGCTATCATCATCAGAATCATCCTCTAAATCCGAGTCTTGAAGTCTCAAATTGCGCCCTCTCTTCATAATCTCCTGCTTATGCTGTATTTCAAACTGCATTTCTTTTTCCTTAAAATTTGGACAAACACTGATATTAAGAATTTTGATTTCTACAGAAATTGATTCAAAATTTAATATCACCAGAAAAAAAAATCTAAAAGACAACGAAAAAAGGGATGGTCATTCTGAATTAATGACTGTCTTTCATAAATGTGAAGAGGTTCAATTAAACAGTCCAAAAATACTAAATATGAAGTTTTGTTAACAATTTACTTGGAAGCATTTATAAATAACAAAAAAAGATGAAATGTAAATGGCGACTAAGAGAAATTAAATTACTTAATGGTGTACATTGACTGTTCACAGCTACTACCATAGTCATGCATCTGTATTTTAAATGCAAACATTAGGCAAAAAAAGATGTAAGTATTTGTGAGAGAAAAAAAGTTGATAGAGGTTGGATGCCAAAGTAACTGGATAGAGGTTGCACTTACCTTCCTTCGTTCTTCTGTCTTTTTAAGCTGCAATTCTTTTTCTTGCCGTTGCTTTTGACGGGAGATCATTTCTTCATAAAATGACTGACTAGGTTTATTGTACTGGCTGAGTATTTTCTGCAAATAAAAATCAGAAAACCTACTTCAAAATTTATTCTTCCATGACTAGATCAGTGTGTTAAGATTTGACCGTTCTGGTCCAGTAATGTAAAAAAGTATCAATAGTAAAAATGATGTCAAATTAAAGTAAATTCCAGATCATATGAATTCATTCAGGGAAGACTGGACTATTTTTATTTTTGGATTTATGTTTTTCTCACTCTCTAGGACTGAGTGCTCAAAATTGAAGAACTATTTGTGAATGTTGATCAAGCAAAAATCAATAACAAATTATACAATTCAATAAAATTATTGTATTCTATAACAGAAAATATTATATACATACAAATTATGGAACAAATATTTAATTTAAATTAAAAATTGCTGGGAGAAAATTACTACAGATGTCAATGCTCGCATGGTCGAAAATGAACTATCTATCCATCCTATACTTTGTTGAGGGGGGACTTGAAATGGTCTCAACAGTTTATAAAGTCTACTAGAGTTTAATACAACCAATAAAATGGGGATATACTGGAAATATTTCAAATCAAATGCAGATACTATTTTACACACCTCACAAAAAAGCACACAGAATAAAGACTGGCTGATATCAATGTTAAATTATGATACAAAGCTTTTGGAATCTTAACCACATCATGAAAAAAATAATAGTACCTACCTGGGCATGCTGAACCAATTCAAATACAACTACTTCACCACAAAGAGAGTTTGCAATGGTTTCCAATTCTCTTCTTAGATTTGCTAACTGAATGCTGGATAAACCTTTACTTTGCTCCAGATATAACTCTGGTGTTCTGCAATACACATAAAAGAGCATTGTTATTAGTTTCTGAGGGGGAAAAAATACAATATGTATGTAGGTATGCCAGTAAAGAACTTCGATAGAACCTTAGCAAGCCTTCTTCTTTGTTTAAAAAAATACTGAATGAGTAGCCCATAATTTTCCTTCTTTCTCAAGGTGAGAATCATATGGGCAAATAATTAAAAATTTAAAAAAAGGGCAAGTACTGTTGCCTCTGAAGTGATTAGATTGCATTTTCCAATTGGGTTGGGGACTTTTAATTATCTTCATCTCTCTGATATTTCTTTCATTGAGTTGAACATATTATTCTGCAGATGTGAGGGAGTGCTCTTTCTTTCAAAGGTATTTATAATGAAATCATTCAGGATGAGAAATCAATAGACTCAATTCAGGATGTTGGAGTTATTTAGCCAACATGCGTAAAAAGTTCAGCATAAAGCTGAAATCTCTAACAAACTCCGACATCCCGTCTTACGACCCGTGCGTTCACCGCAATCGGTTGGTGTAGACTCAATTCACTGAATTTTCAGAATGCTTAGCTCTATGCTTTTACTACTTAGCAGCTAGTTACATGAAGAAAAAGTTGAGGGTATGGAATCGTCTATTCCCGTAGAGGAATGAACTTACTCATCTGGATATTTCTCTGAACATACAACATGCAGGGCAAATTTAGCATGGACTTGATTGTATCCTCTACTGTCTTGCTGAGGAGTGATGGAAATAGTGACATCCAGTGGCTTCCACTCATAACTAGGATTGTCTTCATGGTTGTCGTGCAGAGCCTCGCCAAAAATTGCCTGGCAACAAATAAGAATGAGAAAAATTTTAAATGACGGTCACATGAATAAGATAAATGATACTTATAATTTCTCAGACATGATAAGTTTAACGTTGTCTCTCAGTTGGTGACCAAGAAGAATTGACGGGTCAGTTTGTCATAATGAGAGACAAATTTCTTTGGTGAAATGCCTTGAACATACATATTCATTCCAAAAACTTCAATCACGGACAAATACAAGCACAGAAACTAGATGATGCAATCATAAAAACATTCACTTGGTTTGCATCTTTGAAGATTCTCTGACACATTTTTTCTTTGGGGATAACCTGCTGGTTGTCATTGCTGCACACAATTTCATCAGATTTTCTTTTGATCTTGACGAAACACTCTCTTGAAAATATTTACCTACTATCAGTCTCTGACTATGTCTGGCCTCAGTATCATTTCCTGTCCTTTTACATATTTTGGATTTACTTGTTGAGAAGTTTTTTTACTATCTCTTCGCTTTCCATCTTAGTTAAGATTCGTGACACCCTGGATACTGGATGTAAGATCTTACCATAATTATAATTTTTACAGCAATAATTTCCCTTTAAATGACTTAGTGTAAAATATCAGATGAAATCCTTGTGAAAATAAAATGTGATGGGGCTCTTTTAAAATGACAGTAGAGTGTGAGCCTTTCTAGTTCCGTGTTAAAAAGGTAAAGGTATACCTACTCTGCTTCATAAACAGCAAATGCGTTTTCATTAAGAACAAAATCCCTCCAGCCACAAGTTCTATATGAATGAAAAAATGTACAGAATAAGATGTCTACTAAGAGCATGGCAAAATGATATCATAAAGTGAAGTTGTGTCTAGGTAAAAGACTGGAGCCACGAAAGCTTGACAGGGATTCTTCAAATGCATTTTATTCTTCCCGAAGATGTAAGGCAGTGTAGTTTTGGTTGCAGTAAACTTGCGTAACAACGTACACTTTAAGAATTTCTTGAGAAGTCACGAGTAAAAATGCAATCATTAGGAATCATTTCATAGGAGAGAATATCTACCTTCAGAGCTTCCAATTCGTTTTCTTGCTGCTCCCTCAGAGTTTCCTCCATGGCATTAGAAAATAATCACAGGCTAGTTAATTGAAGTTCATATCAGTTTCTACAAATTGCTACATTTTCGGAATCCACAAGAAATTAAAAATTTCTAGATGAGATAAGTGTAAGTTGACATTTTTTGAGAATAAAACTTGTACGTACGTTTGTTACTTGTAAAACCTAACCTTAAATTTCATGGCGTGTGAACCAAAACAAAACAGAGAAGGCATCGGTGAGTTCAGCGTTGAGTTTCGAGTTCAACGGGCGACTTACTGTTTCTTGTCAGAGAAAACATACTTACGAGATAATTATTGTAAGAATTTTCAAAATCATTAGACTGCTTTGACCATTTCTGACTTCATGTGACAGATTTTCATTTTATTTCCGACCCAACTTGAAAAAGGAATTTTTACTCGCATTAGCTTCTGCTTCTTGTTTTCATTTACTGCAATCTGATCTGCATGAACTATTTCATCAATTTTACCTAGTCACTCATCTTCGAAGTTTTTGTCTTTCCTCTGTTTCTATAGTTTATTTCAAATTTTAGGTTGTACCATCGTTTCTAAGTGTAATGTAAGTGCTTGCAAGAGAGCAGGAATACTTCACGCATTGTGCCAAACGCAGTGCGGCCGTCGTCGGAGCAAGGAGCATAAGAGCGCCTACAAGAGTGTAAGAATACTGCCCGCATTGCGCTTAACGCACAGTGCGGTAGCTGGTCGGCGTGAAACGCATACAATGTTCTGGAGGCCGATTACAACATGTTTCCGCAGAGAAACCTTCTTGTAAATTGATTTTCTCAGACTGCCCTTTTCTAGAGTTCAGTTGACTCGACCACGTGGCTTCTACGGTCTATACATAAACCTGGCCATAAAGCTAGGCAAGGAGGCAAAGCAGCGCTGGAGCTAATATGAGAACCCAATTCATTTTGGCTCCAGCGCCAAAACCCGACTTTTCGATATTTTTTTAGGGTGTCTGTGGGACGCATGGGGGGGGGGGGGGGGGGGAACACGATCGTAATGAATTCGAGGGGTCCGTAAAAAAAATTTCAGCCCTATCGGAGGCGGCAGCTTGGGAAGTTCCCCTTGTCATCCCATTTCGGGGCTCATTACTTAAGGAGTTAATGAAGATAAATGTCAACCGGATGCAGTTTTGTAAAAACTTCTCAGGCTAGAAATAGTTGGGTACAGAATTTTTAAAAATTTTGACATTTCTCGTAAGAACAGTAAATATGCCATATACTTACACTTGGGATGGAGAATCAAAACTTAGATATCGCATTCAGACTGTTATAAATAACACACCGGTAAATATTTAGTGTTTTTATAATAGACACTTTGCAAAGGGTAATGAGCCACTGGCATGCATAAATGCTCTTTGGTATTCTCGTGATTTGAAGGCGATTCAAATCCTCCACTCACTGAGGTCGTGGCTTCGTGAGTTTTATCCTCCGAAATTGAAGGTTGTGTATCTCATAATCAGCCTCAGCTCATTTGGTTGTTAAGTTGTGCGTGAAGATGAAATCCAACCAGACCTGATTTTTAAAAACTCCTCAGGTTAAACGCGGTAACAAGATTGTTTAAAAATCTTGACGCGTCTAGTAAAAACAGTTCATGGCTCTACAACTACAATACAACAGTTAAAATTATTAAAAGTGTATCCTTTTTGCTGGAAACTCTGCAGTTCTTTGATTTTGATAATAATGCATAAATTACTGCTTGCACATTGATTTTTGTTTGATTACAAAAATTTGCACAAATCACAGGACGGCTGATTGTGATTGTGCTAGTAACTAAATGGGGCGAGAAGGAGAGTACTATTTTTGCTTAAAAATAATTGAGCCAAAAAGAGACTATTGGCTCATATATATAGATCCAGCTCTTTGAATAGGGAAACTAATGGCGTTCATGTTGTTTTGACAATGAACCAGAAATAGTAGTTCCTCATTGCAAAGTGTGGTTCATTTATTACACATGCGTAGGTATAATCCTTAGGAAATGATACGTATTTAAATACTAAAATTTTGACACAAGCGTCAACCTGTTTCATTAAAGAAAAAAACGAGCTCTTCGTGGTAAACGATAATGTGGAGTTTTGATGATCTTTTGAACTTCAGATTGGTCTAATTGGACTGCATTTTGCAATTTGGACCTATAAATTCTGGCTCATCTGAAAAAACACTTATGTGCATAGGGAAACTAATGGCACATACGTTGTTTTTAAACCGGGCCGGAATTTATAAGTCCAAATTGCAAAATGCAGTCCAATTTATTATGCTCAAATTGCACTCACGCAATGACTTCGTCCCAAAAATCCCTATTTCTCCGTTAATACTGCCGTGGTAAGGAGGAACCCCCCATGAGCCCTCAAACGTTGCCGAATTTCCTTCCAGAAAACCAAATTTACGGGGAAAATTGTGAATATTTTCCTCAAAATTTATCAAACAATTTTGCACGCGATTTAATCTACAATATCTGAACATTTTAAGAGAATTATACATAAATTCCATCACTTATACATCGTATATCAAGAAAAATTTTGGCAACTCTCGAATATTCTTACGGCGTTCTTCCTCAGCTCGACACACTGAAAAAAATAGTTCTGTCCACAGGGCTCCTGCACTTTCTTTGTTATAGCTAAAGAGGTTTCCGTAAGAGGACTGAGAACTCTGTCCTCACGATCGAAGTCCTGTTCTCACAACAGAAAAGTTCTGTAAGTATGCCTAACCAAGAAAGTGCAGGAGCCCTGCGAACAGAAGGTTCTGTCATCAGCGCCGAATTTTTTTGCGTGGCAGAATACGTCGTCTCCCGGACGAAGAAACTTAACTCCATTCCAATGCTGCCAAATTGACTCGAACAATACATTTATTTTACAAAGTGTACCTGAGCAATTTCTATCCACAATTTGTCGGATTTTTGCATGAAATCTACAGAAAAATCAGAGAAATTTTCAGTTAATAATTCTCAAGATTCTCCCAGTAAAAATACAATTTGCGAGGGGAAGTTTGGCATCAATGTAATGGAGTTACGTTCTTTCGTGATGGAGACGACGAATAGAGGGTTTTAAGGCCCCGCTATCTGGACTGCATTTTGCAATTTGGACCTACAAATTCTGGCTCATCTGAAAAAACACTTATGTGCATAGGGAAACTAATGGCACATACGTTGTTTTTAAACCGGGCCGGAATTTATAGGTCCAAACTGCAAAATGCAGTCTATCTGGACCATTGTGCGGCCGACGGCGGAAAAACTGTTCTCCGATTCTGGCTTTGCATCGCCCGTCCCAACTTTCATTTCCGGATGCTGAAAGAAAACGTTCAGAGATCGTCTTTGGCGTCTTTTGTCGACTGTCGGGGCTCCTGTTTCCTCTTGACCCCCTCCCCTCCCCGTTTCAAACTTTCTCCCCCCCACCCCGCCCCCTCCCCCTGGGGTCTCGGCTTAGCTTTCCGCCAGTTCACGAGTCATCTTAAATTGCCCTGCCAGTGCATACACCCCATGAGACTCCTTGACCGCTCAAAAGTCAGTCGGGGGATTGACGGTCAACGATCGAATATTGGCTCTCGTCGCACGTCGGAACGACCGTTTTCGGGGCTCGTGATTTTGAAATTTGGCAACACTGTTTTGACTCCGTTTATACCCGTATAAAATATCGATTTTAGACGAGGGAAGCTGTCTCACCGAGAATCGATTGTTTTACACGTATTCAAATGGAGGAAAAACAGTGTAGCCAACTTTCAAGCATCGCTGTACAGTGGATCGAGTCAATAGAGATTTTGCAGGTGTCTAAAATTTGATGAATTTTGTGTCTAAGTGGAAACTACTGAGTGAACTGAACACGAGGATACCCTTGGTTCATGAATTGAACAATTATTGGAGAGGATATGACAAAATGATCTAATCTGCTAAAATACGTGTGTTTAAATGGGAAATGCCGCCAGATGACGTCACTAGGCGGTGCATTTCCTCACTTTTAAATCTATTTTTATACTATTTCCCATATCAGAAAGAAATTATAAAAAATACTGTGAAATCAGCTCTTTAAGCACTCTCAGATGAAGCAATAAAAAATTTGCATGCAAAATCTCCATTTGGTAACACAGTTTTGACTCCATTTACTTATGCCCGTATAAAATATTGATTGAAGATGAGGGAAGCTGCCTCACCAAGAATCGATTGTTTTGCGCATATTTAAATGGAGGAAAAACAGTGTAGCCAACTTTCAAGCATCGCGATACAGTGGATCGAGTAGAGAGGTCGTATATGCAATTTTTGACTAAAACTGCAATTTTTTATGTTTATATCGTCAAATTTTAAATTTCAAGGTATGCTTCTAGGAGGAAGTTTTACGAGAAAACCCATGGGGCTACATTTAAAACCTCAAAATTGTGTATGAACGGAGTCATGAGCTTTTAAAGTTTCCAAATTTTGTCCGACCTCTCCCATTAACTAGATCCACTGTGCGCCGCTGGTGTTCAACTTGCTCAAAAGATTGTGGACTGATGGCGATGTCATAATAGTGATATTCAACTCGTCGATAGATCGATGTCCGATGGTCCCAGTTTCAACGATGGAGCATAACTTTCAGGTCGAAAGTTTGTGTTGAGTTTTTGGCGACGACTTTATGTTGAAAGAAATTATGTAAAAATGTAAGCACGTTTGCAAAGGAATACCCTATGCACGTAGCCAGGGGCGTAGCTAGGAAATTTCTCGGGGGGGGGGGCATGGGACCACCTCTCGTGGTGAAGAGAGCGGGGGGG